AATTTGGGGGGATGCTTCGGAAGGAGGCCAGAAGGGAAGGATGTCAGTGTCGTAACTTAACAACATACTTGCAACATTTGGTTGGATGGCTTTTGACATCCAGCATTTTCTTGCTAGTTTATCAACATTACAAACCATAGCTTTGAATTGCTTACCAAAAAATATCATGAAAGATGTCAAATTAAAGTGAATGGATATTGTCACTTTATCCTTGTATTATTAGCTAAATCTACTTACAAAAATAATCAGTTCATCCTGATTAAAAATAACTTGACTAAATACAAAGCCTTAGATAGCTGAAGCGTCTGTGCTAGTATAGAAAATGGAATTTCTAGTGATCAACACCATACATAAAAGAGTCAGTCCGTTGCATTGGGGCCAGTGTCAGAGGAGACCTTGCAGATACAGAAATCAGGGGTCGAAAATATCCTGTCATTGGTTCTACTGTTTTAAGTCGGAAGGGTCTGCTGTTTTCTGGTCTCCAGGGAAACAACCCTGTGTTTTGTCACAGGTGCAGCAACTAACATTTTTCGGTTTCCACAATCATCTTCAGTCATATTACAAATCGAGAATTTTTTGTGCAATTTAAAGACACTCTAGGATGCCATCTTGACATAAATGAGACAGGGCCATCTTAAAGCAATTTGCAGCTTACAGTTATACGTGGCATGAGACGAACATGTCCTGGTCCCTTTGAACTTTCTGAACCTCCTAAACCCCTCCTTCGTTTCTGAACCGCTTGATCCGCTGAAGCGTAAAGGGGCCTGAACTGCAAACCCCTTTGCTTTGATGAGGCCAGGATTTTACTTCAAGTCAGCATCAACTATTCCAGTTGCAGATAAAGTAACAGAATGCGGAGGTGTATAAGGAGATGGTAACACCAGCCATTGATTGGATTTGTTCTCCACCTTTAGTCGGCCGCCAAACACAGCGTAATATTCAGTGCTCCAACAAGTCGGTCATCTCTGCCTCGATGTAGACATCAAACCGGCCTTTCTTATTCTTATACGCCGGTGAACTGTAAAACTGGAGCACCAAGGATCACGGTGGTTCGTAGACCAGTTCGTTAAATGAAATATCGCACACACAAGAATCACCCAGTAGAATAAACCTCTTTTAAAACTCATCCCTACTTCCATCAACGATCTCTCTCCCAACAAACTTTAGCTTCCTCCACAAATGAACTGACCCTACCAAACAGGCCCAGATTACCTAAACATGTCCTTGAATTATATTCCAAACCATAAATAATTTAGGGTTGTATATTATATAGAATAATTTAGACAGTACTGAGATAGCAAGCATTTACTGTGCATTTCTGTAATACATTATAAACACTGCTCACAATAGTGTATGAGCGTGGCTGTAAGCACCCATATGTACTCTGAACTACTGAAGCATTTTATAATGACTTATATGGTCAATTATCATAAAACCTGCAGGTCACTCTCTTGTATTTTCAAGGATAATAGTCTATTAACATTCCCATTGCTGTAACACTTGTAATAAACAATCATATTCACTGTTATTTCCTTACTAGTACCCAATGGCTAACATGTAATCATCATAACAATGACAGAGAGTGTAAGACGAACATATGTCATTCCTCCTTACAAAGCACATCTTTCAATGCCGACATCGGATTAGTGGTGATATTATTTCAATATTTTACTTTTTATTTTTGTTAGATTTTCAGTCATACCTCAAATGTGTACAAAAAAAGAGAAAAAAACATTGCTCGATCTTCAACTAATTACAATTTCTTGGCTGAGTGTGCAATGCTCTGGTTATCTTGCTGAATATGAATATGAATCTAAGTGATGTAATATGCAGGTTACATGGGGGTTGTGGTGTATGATTCATCTCTATGTTAAGTTACATCAAAGGGCTACAAAACGAAGAAGCAGATAGTGAAACGATAAAGACTCCACTTGCACCGGATGCATCAGTCGGGGGAAAGTCGCAACATTTTTGAAAAAAAAAAAAATTAGAATTACAAAAACAAGACCTGATCCTGAATTCTGAAACAGTTGCCGGTTGGTTCTGTGTCCCATATCTGGAAATTACCGACATCATTTAGATATACTGGTGATAAGGCCACAACACATCATCAACGTCACGTGGCAGAACTATTTCCAAAGTCTTTCTGACCAGTGGGACCATATTTTGTACACCTCCGAGTTGGATTCTATTTCAGATACTGTATGGGTGTTGGCCAAGCTGCTAGGAGCCAGTCAAGTGTGTGTCCAGCTTTGTGCCAAATTAGGAACCTCTCTGTTGATTCTGGAGAGCCGAAGGTCGTCAGCAGTGTGTGTCACGACAGAAGTGGCTGACTGATGTAGGAAATATCAAGACATGACGGACCACAGCTCCCCCGGCCTGAGGGTGAAGCACAGTTACTCCGTGCCTGGGATGCTCGCGCTCTAAAACTTGCTCTGCCCACTCAAGTGCGTTCACAGGCTGCTAGACAATAGTGCGCTGCAGCCAACGGACAACATCAAAGTAGAAACCTTTGTTGAGATCACCTGTAAGTCAACCTGTTCATGGAGAAATAAAGTGCAGCTGACAAACTAAAGTACAAGAAATTATATAATCTAGAACATGAAACCAAAAGCCTTCTTCTCTCACATCGTCGTGCTTTGCTGAACTGTTTTTTAAGTGATACAAAGCGGTGTTGTTGTTGTTACTCCATTATTCGAAATAAAAGGAAAGTAACCAAATAATTACAGGGAGGGGGAAGATTATCCAATAATGTGGCAAAATGTTATTGCATTGAGGTATATATATATATATACATACAGTATATGTATAACTGTACTGTGGACATGTCCCTGGTACCCTGGTATCTTCTGATCATAGTAAATGCTGTATGTATCAAAGACAAGATGTTCATTTTGAATATTGTGAGAGGCAACAACATTTTAAGCACTTCTTTTTGCCGTTTGGTCTTCTTTGACTCATTGAACTAGTGAATGAAAACACTGTCGCTGATGGCAAAGACAAGACATCTTTGACAAGTCATTTAGATGAGTTAAAAATGCCGCCAACTGTCATGAGGGCAATGGTTGAAATTCCTTTAGTAGGGATGAGTAAGGTGCAAATATGTTATAGAACTAAACTGAAGATAATCCCCAACTGAAGTCGGCTGAAAATGTTATTTTATTTTAACCGTTCATAACCGCTGTTTCATCAACTGTTTTACACAGTTGTAAAGGAGACATTTCTTTGCGTCTTGCTGTGATACCCTTCAACAACTCTTGAATGGCAGCACTCAAACCCAGAACGAAGACGTAACCTCAACTATAACAGTTTTTTTTACAGTGGCTAGCATCAGGACGGCGCATTTTGGCACATTTGCCCTCATCAGACCATCGGTTTTTGGCAGAGCCCCCATCCAGAGGAAGGTTATATTAGGAGGTGCACCTGCTATATGATTTTCACTGCTTGCTCTCATTCTCGTCAAGTGTGATGAGGTCGCATGGATGACAGGCTGCCGCCTGAAGCCTATTTAAAGAAGATTCTGGGGAATAGTATATATTTAATAGCCATAAATTAGCTCTGATATCTGAGCTCTGATATTTATGATAGTAATAATAATAACAATAATAGGACATATTCTGTCTAAAAAGAGGAAACCAATGTGCTTTTAAAATGGAAAAATGTACAGATAAAAGTAAACCTGCCAGAGCAAATTATACATATTAAGTTCTTGAGGCAATGAACATCATAATCTATCATGTAATATGATTTGTTTAATGCAGTGAAGGTTTTTTACACATGACCTGAATGCATAGCACAATCAGATATCTTGCAGGTGAGTCATGCATCATTGTCTCTACCTATCATTCATTTAACTATTTCTTTCAATCAGTTCAATGCCACGTCTGTTATTTCTGACCACGATTTTAAATAATTAAGGCTGGACAAGGGATGATTCATTTTTCAAAGCAGGTTATTTCAGCATGCCAATATTTGTCCATGTAGGACAAATATTTTGGGTGTTTATGAAGCACTAGAGCTAAAGGAAATTCAAGCGGCGATGAGACTAATTTAACATCATACTCCATCAACATGGCCTGCAAGTGGAACGCCCTCTTTGTTTTGTTTTGTGTTTCTTTTTTCCAGGTGGAATAGGCTTTTCTGAGCACAAAGTTGTGTAGCACATGTAAAGCAGAAAAACAAATCTGGTGCTGAAATGATTAGTTTCAATCATGTGCTGTATTCAATTAGAGCCATCGGTGTAGCTGTCAGTCAGTGCTCAGTTATGACGTCTTCAGCGAGTGGATTTGCACAGACCAGGGCCCAAATGCCAATGAAACAGGAAGCTTCGTCTTTAAATGCATCCTATACAACGTGGGTTTAGATTAAAGCAGCTCATTGTTGTTATACATCATTATCCATCAGTAATCAGGCTATTATAAGCGGTTAAAAAATACAACTATATTTTAAATTGCCGAACATAAAATGTGGTTTAATCGTTTCGGCAAAACAATCAGCCTGAATGACATACACTTATCAGTTGTTCCATCATTCCTTCTATTTATATCAAATTATCAAAATATTTCATTATCCATTATTCTGAAGAGGGTATGTAAAAATACGCACAATTTCCCATAAAAGTTGATGGGGCAAACATGCTTTTCCTGATTTGCAAAATCAAATCTTCAGAGACAATATCGTGTGTTACATGGACTCTCCAGAAAATCAGAGAAACCCAAAAGTATAAAAAAAAAAATCATCACGTTAACCATCTTAAATTGTGCTTTCCGCAATGTGTGCTCTACCTCTCCAGGAGCAGCCATCTTCGGTACGCGAATAGATGCATAGTAATGACGCGGTAACAGTCCCATCAAAGCCGTCCCTCATATTTTGCCACGGGCCTACTTTTTTGACAGATTTCAAAGGGATGACACGCGAACGTCATTTTGTACAACACCCTGACGCGCACGTACCCTCGACAACAGAGGGCCCTAAAACGGACGTACAGCTGCAGCACCTACCTCCAAAATCTGGCCTCAAACGGATGTCATATCCCTTCAGCAACTTGTCCACGGTGGTCTTGGCCACAGACATTCCGGTGCTTCCAGTGGAAGAGCTGAGGGCAGAAAGCACAAGTGTTACAGCCATTTTAATTAGTACAACTGAATATTTTGTTGTTTTCATAGATTTTGTTTCTCTACTGCACACAAGATGTACAATACAGGATCAGGGCACGTTCCCTGTGTTATCAACATCAATGACATGACGCCAACGTGGTGAGGATTTGACGAAGGGAACGAGGACTTATGATGCATTAAAAAAACCTGAACAACAAACCACTAGTCCAAGAATCCATTTTTCTTTCCAAGTGAGCATTTTTTGTCATATTTCATCTATTTTATCCTCCATCTTAGTCAAATATAGTTTTAATCTTTCAACATCTTGGGCTGTCACCACATTTGAAGAAAAACAAACATTCACCACGCTGAGATTTTTTGCTATGAAAAATGCTCGTTGCAGTCAGTTGTCAGACAAATAGTGTTGCGTTGTCGTGGGGAAGGTTAATAAACATGCCTTGTGTATCCATCCCACCACTGAACCCCACTTACAATGTATTCATCTGGTCAGTGGGCTATGATTTAATATCCCTGTCAAGCATGTTATGGACCTCTAAAAGATCATTAGAGTAATAATGCAATTGCTTTTGTTTAAGTAACAAGTTGGTGCTCGGTGTTATTTCTTGGCCATGTGTTTAAACACAGACTCATATCGTGCTGTCAGAGCCACAGGCTTCGTTGGTCTGAGGCTGGACTCGAGACAGAATACCCCCAGGAGGAACGCAGAGTCCGCACCACTCTGACTGACACTTATAACATCGATGCCATGACCTGAATCACCTGACCGAGACCAGTTCTTCAGCTCAGCTTCCTTGTTATGGGAAGGGTGTGGAATGGGCATGTGTGTGCGTGTGTTGGTGGGAGGTGCGGGGGGAGGGTTAAAATTAAAATTGCTCCCCTGATAGGAGAACTAGCCCTCGGCCTAGTCAGGGAAACACCGTTCAATTAGCTCACACGTAGTGCAGCTGTTCGTCAAGCTGGCCAGTTACAGGACTCGTGGGTTTGACAGAGTATCATTATAAGATCAATGACACCTGAAACCCGTGCAAGATTACCGCCCCTTTCCTTTTGTTATTCCTGGTTATTGCAATTGGCTCAGAAGAAATGCAGTTCTCACTGAGCAACCGAATCTCATAATTGAGGCTGCAGGTTACTGCAGCCTAGGAAAAGGAGTGGGCCACGAGGCATCAGCGCCTTTAACAACAAAACAATAAAAAGGGACTGATCGGGAGATTTGCATGTTCCTCAAAGGCCTGTGCAGCCATTTATTATATAGGCTAAACATCTCAAAGAACCAAACAAAACGGCATTCATTGATATGTTAAATCTTTTGAAAACAAAAGATGAGGGGTTATTTTTCAGTTTTAATTGATTTGGTTCCGGGCAATAAAATGTGCAATCACGTCAGATTATTTGACTAGGATTTGCATTTTTTTTATTTATTTTTTTTAAAGATGAATGCAACAAGTAAGCTTTCGGACAAGGTTTCCACAGCACTGGAGCCATACACCTGGCTGCTTGCCCTGGCGTAATCAATCGATCGTCTGCTGATCGATCGCATCAGCTAATCATCGGCCAACGCTACTGTTGCCCACAGAGGGCTGACACAAGACATCATCATGCTGAGAATCGGCCCTTTCCCGCAGACACATGTGCATATCCCCATTTTGATATCGGGAGTAGGTTACGTTTCACAATAGGCTCGATGCCGTGCACGCGCATGTTTTTACGCTCACGCGCGCGACAGCTCCGTTTAACAGAGCATATATATCAGCAGCAATGCCCCTAATAAGTAGGCCTGGGTGCCCCGTTCGTGCCATTTGTCACATTTCAGCCTTTTTATTGTACCGGCAATTACGTCCGTTGGTGTGAATGGAAATATTTATCTATTCACGTTTCTTTTTTTGTTTTTGTTGTTGTGGTCTAAGCGATGTGTTCTTACCTTTGAACAAAGCAGAAGAAGAAGGACAAAGCCGCCAGAGCAGAGAAAATTCCACATAATTTATCTTCTTGACGTCCCAACATCTCAACAAATCCTTAAATATATATGTGTTTCTATAATCCAACCAGTCCAGTGGTCGTCCAGAAAATTCACAAAGTAACAATAGGCAATTAAAAAAAATGAGATTGTCTTTTGAAGATGTCGAATAAACTACCCTACATCTACAAATGCGATGTGTTCTTGTAATAGGCTTCTTGGGTTATTGTTTTTGGCTTGTTTTATTTTTGTAAATCGTGGAATTGGCCCCCCGCTGTGTTTTTCCCGGCTATGGAAATCCGTGCAGGTCACAGAGCCCCTCGACCAACACCAGAAGATCCGACATCTTGCTCAAAAAACAGCATACACAATACTTTTGAAAGTGACGACAAGTATTCCTCCCTTTAAAAAAGCAAACACTGGCATGAATGACCGAGCGGCAGCCCCTTGATGATCAAATCGGCGGATGACATTTCCCAGTCCGAATCTGCAGAAGAGGCATGGTTCCAGCGGTGCTGTGGTGGCGCCAGACTATTCCACAGCGTGATGATGCTGGTTTAGGAGAATATTTGTTTCAGCTGGAAACGCTGGTCTGCTGAAGGGGAGCGGTGGGTTAAAAAAAAAAGGAAAAAAAAGAAAATTGAAATCTTCATTCCCTTTTTTTTTTGTCGCCCTCCTCCACCCCCCTTCAACCCCCCTCCCGCCCCCACCCCCCGCACCCCCCGCACCACCCCCCCACTCCCCTCTCCTTCGTTGCCGCTGCTGCTGCTGATGTAGATCAGCGCAAAGTCACTGAGGGGAAAATACACATGGAAAAAAGCACTGGGTTTAATATCGGAGGCAGACCTTAGAGCGGCTAAATCAACTCCTCTGGCGGGAAGAAAAAATGAGTTGCCGAAGAATACGGATGCCCCCCTTTATACGACAATGCGTGTATCACAGCGTCGGATATCGTGTCAAAGGGAGAAAAAACAAAAGTCCTCCTGCCTCCGCGGTCCGTCGCTGAATGGCGTCTCGGCGCGTCTTGGCGCGTCTCGGCGCGTCTCGCCGCGGAGTTGCCGTTGGGTTCGCTCCGCTTCTCCTGGAACCGCCGAGCGGATGACCGACATGCCACAGTTCGGCGAGCCCACATATTTTTGGCTCCGCTCCCATTTTTTTCTTTTGAGGTTCCCCAGTGAAAATAAAAAAGAGTTCCGGTCTCCCGGGGGGGGGGGTGGGCGCAATGGGGGGGTGGGGGTGCCCCCTGAAAGAAAAAGGGGGGTTGGGTTGCGGGGGGGGGGGGGGGGGGACACCTAAGGTGAATTCTTTAGTGACAGCGTGTCCATATATACGTTGAATCGCGTCTGTCGGTTTTCTCTGAAACCCACTACATGTGTGCCGGTGCGTTTTCGTGCATTTCTTTCACTTTGCCACAATTTTCTTTTTTTCTAAACACGCGCGCAGAAAAACACGCGCCGGCAGTCCGCGTGCGCACCAATACGCCTACAGGCTTTCGCTCCTTTATTCATTTAATTGCTCATTGCCAACCACAACTGGCTCCTATGTGTTTGAAGCGTGCACATCCTTGCTGGAAACCGCTAACGCGCACTCCCAATTTCAAGAATCACACAGGCTTGTGTTTTATACAGAGGAGGAGGCTTTCTTCTGGGATGCTGTGCTGTCCAGTTGCTAAGCAACCCAGCCACCACTGATGCAGTTGTGGTGATTCGAAGGCTATGCGCAAAGGCTCATTTAAAGGAGTAGACCCGATGTTGTCACCACTGAGGTGTCAGTGGGACAAAAGCAACTGATGTACTAGGGAGCCATCCCTGTTATGACGGGACTGGGGGGGGCATTAATCCTACAATAGTACGAAAACAAAATGTTGTGTGTCAGGGATATTGCGCGCACACACACACACACACACACACACACACACACACACACACACACACACACACACACACACACACACACACACACACACACACACACACTACTTCTGCTTCATCATCATTGTCCTACTCCTCATCATCACAATCACTGTCAGGGCCACCATGATGAGCTCATCTTCTGAATCATGTTGATATTCAACAGGTATTTGTTGCCCACATGAGTAGAATTAAGTTTGTCAGTGATCAAGTATGACACAAAGTTTGATGGTTTTCTGTGTGAAATATAATGTGTTTTAACAGCTCATTTAATGATAAGTCAATGAAAAAAATAAGGAAGTGGAAGAATTTCTAGCGTTGCAAGAAACACAGCTTTTAACATGACCAATCTCAATCTGCTGTTATAAACCTGACAACAATTGGTCATTTTCATCAATGGAATTGCAATCACATAGTGGGCAATAAAAGGACAATACCAGCACTGACCATAACCTGACACCCAAGGGTGAGCAATTACCTTAACATCAACAAGACACAGACTGACTTTCAGAGTTAAAGGCTTACTTGTTGCATCACTTGCCTAAAGAGTTGTGCCACGAGCTTTCGCAGTCTGATTGTGTAAGTTATCTGGAAGTTGCATTCATGACAGGGACATATATTTGTACTTCTATAAAGCCATGTTGACCAGCCTAACTGTATTTACTTACATTTGCAAACCCATCAAAGAAAATTACGAGATGCTGGTAAAAGGTTTGGGGAATGTTAGCTGGTGGACTTAAGTTAGTTAAATTAGATTCTTTGTGCAGAATAGTTCTCCTGCAAGCTTAATAACATTTGCTGACCAAGGTCAAAGTCTGGTTTGCGGATCGTGTCTCTGTGCCGCGAAGGTTTAAAGGCTTCAGAGAGAAAAGGGGATTTATATTCTTTACTTTTTGCTAAAAGTATCATTTTTGGGGGATGGCAGGAGTGGCGTTTTTTTTTCTGATGGTCCTGAATCATATTTTAAGTCATTCTTTTCTAACGGGATTTATTTTTAAGGCTAAATTCCTAAGATCAAAAACATCTATTTGTGGGCTCAATGGATCGTTAATTGTCATACGGTCAACAGTAACATCGGATGTGGATCTTCAGGGTTTGGGATTGAACATTATTTCTCCCAACACCGAGCCATTCTTTTCCAAGCCAAATGTCGCCTTTACTTCATTCTGCATTACAAAGAGTAATTACAAGAGGTAATATCAATTGTAACAGATTGTATTAGCTGGCCTGTTATGCAATGCATTTTCAACAGAGACAAAACTGTTTGTGAGCAAAGCAAATATATTACAGGGCTGAAGCCCCTTAGCCTCCACTGAGGGGCCACCTGAACCCATCCAATTATTTAGTGTCAGTGGTTGCAGCAGCTATACAACCATTCCTGAATCAAATAAGATTTCTTTAGCAGCTTGGTTAACAGGACGTACCGTTTGTTATATTTAGCGTTATTTTCGAAAGTCGTAATTTGCCGTCTGGGGTTTGGGTTATGTTTAAATGAGCATTAACATGTTTGTCGTAAAATTGGGTTCGGGGTCGAGAGGATAGGATCCAAAGATAAAGGAATAATGCTCAAGAGTCTTTAGTTTCATCTAAAGGAGTGAATCACCAGCCGTTTTTTATAAGTCACTAAATGGCAAGAACACTCTGTGTTGGTTTGTAAAATGTAACCCTGAAGTCTGTACAGTGGGTTTTTGGATTTGAACCTGTGGTCAATACTTAACTAGTACCACATTGGTTATCAAAAGGGGATTTGGTGATTTAAATGCAAATTACTCACCAGGCAGTTTGAGAATAAACTACATTGCCATACTCTTGTTTTTTTTAATTATTATAAGATAATTGCTGAAAAAACAGACTTTGTTGGCAGTCCATCTTCCATAGGTTACATTAGTGAGTACCAGAGTAGACCAGACCATGTGGTACCATGCTGGAGCGATCACTGTGTCTGAGAAGGCTCCGTCCATGTTTTTACGCCAGTCACCCTCTGCGCTTAGTAGTGCTCCTTTTCACAGCGTTCCCTGATTACTGCAATTATCTTTAATTGGCATCCGTGACAAGGAGATCCCAACCCCCGAGATGTTGCATGCTCTTCTTTTGCTCCATTCACATGTTGCATAACACATGTGACTTACTGGGTCACCCATGCTCATATGTTATAAATAGTACCACATGGTTAATGCATTGGTGCCTTCCAGTCACTCCCTATTCCTCTTGCTGTTCATATCTGTCACACACCCCGATCCGCTAAGTAACAGATGATATATTTAACCGATGTGTTTAGAGACGTTTCAGCATGTTTTCATCCTTTCATCAGGGAACATCACCATCAGCCAGTGACATAAGTGAATATGAAAGTCCCATTAAAGGGGTTTGACTTAACGCTAATGTGTTGTGGGACTTTGCAGACTCCCTTTGATTAGAGATCACAATCAGGGATTCTCATGGAGAAGTTAGGTTTCATTTAAGGCAAAATGGTCTGTAACCCTGCGGTGAATCGACAGCTTAAATTCATGTTTTGTCCAACTGATGGCGAGATGGTGGTCCTTCGCTGGTTGATGTCACGGCTGTCTCACCTTGGTTTGTAAAAGCAGAGAAGGACACCTGCCTGCGTTGACTACAACACTGGCCTGATTGGCACTTGTAGACTGTAACAAATCGCTGTAAATTTACGGTGGATTTCTAACGGTATATTACAGTATGTCATAATAACTGTAACATACAGTTACATTTTCATCCCGTGCTTGTAAATTAACGGCCAATGTCATGAATAAACAGTTAAAGCTGTCAATTTACAATAATAGCAGACTACCGTAATTCAACTGCACGTTACATTTATTTTAAGTGCAGTGAATCACAATCCATCTACATCTGTTGTAGGTTAATGTATGGAAGCCCATGTCAGCCACTGAAAAACAGGTCCTGTAAGTCATCATAATGAGAAGACTTTGACTTACAGGACATTACTATACATGCAGCTGTCATTTTTATCCAAAAGGCCCATGGTTTGACATAATTTTAGGTGGAGTAATAGGTGGTTAGGGTTCTTGTTCAGGGACACTTTGACTTGGCACAGGGAGCAGCCAGGATTCAAACCGTCAACCTTGTACTGCACAGCACACCCTCCCTATCCCATGAGCCGCCTTCGCTGTCGTTTCAGTGGCTGGAATGTAAAGATATTAATAATAAATATTTATATTATTCAAAGTGTTCATTGCCTAAAAGTCATTTGAGTGTTAATCGTGACCGACTGCTCCTGAACGTGACGTCAGACGTGAAATCTCAGTTCATCCAGTTCATCCAGAACACCTGTGCAGTTCAACATCGGAGGAGTTTCTCATTGCCTCGTCTCTCCAAGTAACGTTGATAAGTGTTATTTGCCTAGCATGATTAACATTCTCTTTCCTTGCATCCTGTTGTCTTCCTCATCTTTACCTCAATTTTAATATTTTACCAATGACAGTGTTTCTAAATATCTTGTTTTGGTTTGTTTTACAGAGGCACTGGATTAAGGACGCCAGCCGTTTGCTGCGGTCAATTAAAAGTGTTCCATAGCGTATTGTTGCAGTTGGTTTACCTTGTTCCTAATCATTTTATGATTATTTTTTTTATTATTGTATACATGCAGCATATTTTATGTTTTGTTCTTGGTTACAAAAATCTAACATTTTTGTCTTAAAGGCATCTAATAAACTCCAACCACTATGACCGAAATTAGTTTGGTTGTTTTTCTTTTATTTTGTCGGGAATTAAATGCAAAAGTATACGG